GTCAACAGAATCAGGCCCTCTTACTTTCTATTGCTCAACTTCAGGAAGTGCTTTTATATGTTAAAGGTGCCTCTCAGTCTCTCGATTCGGCAGTAAAACGTTAACAATTAACTCTGTGGAATCTGCTTGTAAACAAAAGTGGTGTAAAACTGGATAGGTCACAGGACATTAGGCTTTGTTGGGTGGATTTTGATGCAGGACTAACAAAGACACACACCATCATGTCTGTGTGGACAGAAAGGCGCTTCGGGTTGCAGTAATTCTCCTGGGCTCTTGCGGTGTTTTTATCATGGAAGTAAAAAGGACCACAGACTTGTGAGGGTTGGCCTTGGAGGGCATGGAAAACTAATCAGCAGCCAAAACACTGCTGTCGAAATTCAGCTTGTAACAGTGTTTATGGAGCCGTTGCAGCTTGCGCCAACACAAACCTCTCTGGTCTGGGTTTATCACCTCCAGGGACGGCCATGATTAGCTCCCCACACGGCTAGCCATATATCTTAGCTGTCCCCCCCCCCCCCACACACTCAGGATGACCCATTAAACAGAGACAGAGAAAAAGAGAGAACATGAGTAGGAGGGATGGAAACGATGGAGAGCAGAGATGCTACCTGTAGTTAGTGTAATAGTAGTGTTTACTCAGCCTCTGCGCTCTCTCTGCACAGCTGTGCCTTGTTTCATCTGGTCATTGTCAGTTTGTAGAACACCAATTCTGTATGGGTGGCCACTCCCTTGCCACACACACTGGGGGTAACGACTTGAATGACAGGCACCTGATGTGCGTGGCAAACAGGATAGGTGTGTGTTTTTGTGATATTCCCCTCCCCTCTGAACTCACTCAAAGGCGCTTTTGTCCTCCACAGTTTACCGTTCAGTATTTTCCAACCCATTGTTCCTTTGTTAATTACTTCACTAAACCTCTTAGCCGTCTGCCTATAGCGTACATACAGTATACGTCACGCACTGCACTACTGAGAAATCCCCAGACACCCAAGACTCCCCTTGGTTGGGGTCATTTTCAATATAATGACCTTCTGTTATCTTTAGCTGTTTCTGTGTGTTGAAATTGCTATGACACCATAGTGTGTTATGTATATATATATATAAGATATATTGACAAATTAGACATAAGACCCAATGCTGCACACCATAAATTGTGTTTAGCATGTATCCCCATACAAAACCCTATATTTTGTTGATACTAGCATTAGCTAACCTGCCTAGGAAGCTTAAAGCTTAGTTGTGTTATACAAGGCATTTCCTTTGCCTATTCTACAGGTTATTAGTGTAAATGAAGTCAAGGGAACTAACCATTATTTGACTTTGTCTTGAGAATAATTTTCCTATATCCAGACAGCGTGTTCTGTTCCCAATGAACTAGCTTAATTGAGACTACATAGTGACTGGGGCAAAATCAAATCCCTGAAAATGGCTGAAAGAAGGAAATAGAAGTACTTATTTTCACTACAAATGTTGCTGAGGCTTTGACCTCGTCACATTATTTCCCTTCTCCATGTACCTTGAAAGTAGGTGGTATTGTGCCAGGAATCTCTACTCGGCTTCTACAAGTAAATGCCAGACATAATTGTGTCTAAATTTTGTTCGCTAGAATAACATCATTTTAACATTGGTCGTTTAAAAAAATATGTAGACGTTTTGCAAAACTGGTTTATGAAACATTAGTTTAGCCTGTGCAATTCTGTTTTAATCTGTATAACATTTTACAAAGCTGTAAAATAATAAAATGTTGTGATTATTAATAAGGATCTCCATTTCTGGTTGAATTAATCTAGATGATAATTTGAGCCGCAATTATGCAGTGCTAACTCTCTCATACACACGTTCCTCTCTTACTCTCACACCAACCAGGCTTCAGAATGAAAGCATTGAAGGTAGGGTAGGTAAGAATGGAGAAACCAGCTCGAGTGCGCTAGAATTTGAAAGTACGCAGCCGAAAAAAATCTGCCCCTTCCTTCAGACTTCCTTACAGAGCCCCTCCTCCAACACACACGAATGCGCACATGACCAATGAGGGCACGAGATAAGTTTGTGCCCAGATGGAAGGCTGACAGGCAGGTAGGCCATCCAGTTATTTTAGCCGGGCCGGCTCAGATGACTGGTCGTGCTTTTTACAGTACTACGGCTTCCACTGATGACATTCTTTTATGGATTTTTTGTCAAAGCACTTAAGATATTCGTTGCTATCGGGATGTTAAGAGCATTCCATGGAATATAACAAAAAGTGTTTCTGAAGTGAATTACCTACCCCACCTTTAATGAGACCGAAGGATTCACATCCAATCTCACAAGGGCAGACACCCACCCCTACATGTTCTTATTGTTTTTCTCTCACTCTCCCACATACTTGCAAACAATATCTTCCTGTGAGCTGAGCCGCTTGCTCAGATTTTGGATCACACTGAATCGTATCCATGTTGGTGCCCTGTCCTTCTCTCAGTAGCACTACCGCCACAGCACTAATACACACAGTGGCAAATGTTGTCCCATAGTATTTGTGTGCAGCTGGGAGGCACCAGCCTGCACTGGGATAAATAAGCAGCTATATAAATAAAGAATAAACCTCACTCTAGGAATTTGTCTCATTGAAGATGAAAAGCATCTGCCTCTCTCTGGCATCTGCTGTAAAAGATATCCTTCCACAGCCAAGGGTTTGGAGCACGACGAGTAGCCAACTCTATCAGCCTCACTCACTCTCTACCCACCGACATGAACCAACGCAACGCTGCCGTACATAAAAATGAGTGTCAAAACAAATGTGTCAGCCAACAAACTTGTACGAGTTACACTCATTTTGCAAAACTAACTTAGGATATTAAATGAGAATAGGGCCTCAATGTCTTTAAATTAGGGTGGCAAAGTGGGGGTGTGCCCACTTTTATTTGGCACCCTAAGCTGTGTATTTGTGTATCTTCTTCATCAGCAGACGCTAAACACCCCAACAATGAGCTTCTTTCTAATTAGCAGTGATGGTGAATTAAAAAGGGGGATCTGTTTTTCCAGAGGTTGTAAATGACTTCATCTGCACTTGTTGGTATTTCTCAATAATGTTCATGCAGGGAGTAGTATAATACTCCTTGATAGGATCACAGCTTGAACTTTCACTGACGATAGATGATCTTGGCTGCACGCCTTGTTTTGGAAATTCCTTAGATGCAAGGTGTGTTGCATCGGGATATTAGTTTAGGAGACAAGAAAGCCAAAGGCACATTCCTGTAAGACACAGTGTTGAAGACCTAGCTGTCGAGGATACCTGTCTGTATGTCTGTGCCCAGGTGAGGCAGCGGCACCGTGACTCACGAGCATACCTGCCCCTCATTATTCTCAGCCATGCTGTTTTTTTCCCCCTTTGCTGAGTGACTTGTCGAAAGAGGTTAAAGCAGAGCTCGGATGAATAAAAGGAAACTCTTGAAACTTTGCTTTCCTAAGATCTCTGTCAAGCAGAGAGTTTCCCTTGGTCCTGCTTCACAAAGAGAATGGTCAAAAGGTGCCCGGTGTGTGCATTTTTCCACTTTTTCCACACTCATTGAAATAGCCCCATGAGTAATGAGCTGTTCAACACCTTTACAGGCTTAAGATTAAGAATGGAACAGGTTTGTTATCCACAAGATACTGGAGGCATTGTGTTCCTGACACTCAAACTTATTTAGCTGAGCTGAATGGACTGAAGCTGACCGGCCACCCAGCTAGCCTCAAGATATTCTGCATTTTGGGCACCTCTCTTTCTCTTCTCACAAATATCAGCAATCACCATTGTTCGGTTGCCACTATAAACTCGGCCGTGAGACGGAACAGATGAGCTGAGAAAGATTTCAATTCGATTCCAATAGGCCTCTTATAAAAGCTTTATACAGAATAATTGTCATGGAGCCCTTGAAGACAAAAGAAGGCTTAGTTTAAAACTTTTTTAGTTCATTTTTCTGAAGTCCTTTGGAGATACTGCTTTAATTCCATCAAAAGAGAGATATCTATCCTTACCATATTGTGGTCTGCTCTACAGCGTTATGATTACTCATCACAGATGGCCATGGGCAAGAGTGTAGGGATAAGAAATGTAGTTAGCTCAATTCATGGGGATACAGTTACTTTGTCTATAATAGCGTTAGACGTCAAAACTGCAGGCTATAACAAACTTAGGGTCATATACCCAAATCTAATCAGCTGGCTTAGTCATTTCCTACGCCAAATCTAATTCCTAAAAAAGACAAAGAACCATGCTTGTGCGGTTTAATTTGAGGGACAGCCTTTGTTTTGTGTCTCCACCCACTACTTAAGAAGATGGGCCAATGCTTTCTGTTTTATTGCTCGGTTAATTATGGTTAATTTGTGGTACACCTGCCGCCACTTTGTTGACCAACTATGTCCCCCTTGGGGTGTGTTGTAAGTGAAATGTTTATGTATGAATACATGTTGTCATGTTATGAGATCATGGCACTTTGTGTGATTTGAGCCCATCTGGAAGACACGGTTTCAATTTCTTAATGGGGAACATTAAGTGGGCGGGGGTCCTCAGGGAGTTCTGTTTAGGAGCTCCTCTGGGTTTTTAACTGATCCCCTTTGTGGGAGCATAGCTGAGGATGTTAATCCTGCGTCCTGACCTCCCCTTTGTTCTTTCTATTTCTTCTTTCCATCATTTCTCTCTGCTACATTGTACTGCATTTGTTTCCTAACTCTTCCGCTGATGTAGTTAGCGTGTTACATTCGCTCGGCTCCACTTGTATTGCCCCCAAGCAGTATTTTGTTGTGGGTATAGGGTGCCTTGCTGATCGCAGATCTCAAGTGTTGTGTGCTGTTGTTTTCTTACAAGTGTAGAGTAAGGGTTTTTATATACAACATTTCCCGTCTCCTTTGGTTCTGCTCTGCGACTTGCTTTTGATATTTCTGCTTTACTGTGTTATTATGCTCATTCAAATATATGCAAATGTATAGTGGGTTTGAATACTAATGTTTATCTTCTCCTGTTGTGCATGTGTTTGCTCTCGCAGGTGTTAGTCTTTGATCCTGTCAGAGTGGGACGTGTCTAGCAGGCGACTGAGGAGGGAGCAGTGCCAACTTGGAACATGGTGCCTAATATTCACCTGGCAGCGCCCCTCCTGCCCAGAGGGGCGTTGCTATTCCTGCTTCTACTCACCTGCTTGGTGTTCTCCTCTCATGCAGACAGTAAGTAACCTCCTGCCTGGTATTTCTATGTTGACAGTAAGAGCTTTATGCCCCTCATTGTATCCTCAACCAAGGTTTAAAAGCAAATTATTTTCAGAATAATTTCAGGTATATTTTCTAACCATGTCAAGCAAATGCAACCCCTTTGTAGACATTCTCCTCATATAAAATAATTTAGCACACTACATTGTTGCACATGAATTAACTGTAGGAATATTCATGGGAACAAGCTTTCCTGCTGTGCAGCATAGAGTTTCATTTAAAATAGAATATGAATTGAATTAACATTTGGTTTCTTTGGTGGATTCCAACACACAGAAAGAGCAGCTTGTATAACGCATGTCCCAAAGTATAGAGCTTTAGCATTTGCACAAAAAAAGAAGCTTACAGTGCACATCGTGATGCCCCATCGGCCTCTGAGCCCGGCTGTCAATCTGAATGACGGTTTCGGCGGCACGAAGCCGCTCAGAAAGATGTGTCACCATCGCTGCGCCTTTGGGTCTCGAGGGCAGCCAAGAACTAGAAACTGGGGTCAGGGACAGAATTAATTCAGCAGACGACCTCACCTATAGTGCTGTCATGGGGTCACTGTAATTCAATTATACCCCAACCCCTCCCGTTCCCAACAACTGCCCTGTGCTTTCATACATGGGTCCGGGAGGATTTGTTTTCCTGTACCCTTTGTCTTGTCTCACTCAGCGCTGCGTTATCATCTTTGTCCCAAGCGGCTTGTCTAGAGATTTGCACAATATTATCAGTGTGATGTTGACCTTGCAGAAAAGTTTTACAGATTTGTTCATGTGGTCTGGCAAGATTGCTTGTTCTGACTTCATAGTGATAGAACTAAAGTGGAAATATTCCAGGACTTTTTAAAGGGGGAAACTTCACATAGTAATTAATGGGAATACATTGGAGATAAGAGGAATACAGTCGGAAAAAAGGGGTTCATTGATTTCGCTATATTAGCATGTCATTTGAAGACTGAAACAAGCCCTGTACCATATTATAAGCAGAAGTGAATCCTTTGTTTTGTCAGATAATTCCATTTATCTCTGAGACACATACAGTGTGAAATTACCCATTTGGTGAATTACCTAAAGTTTGGTTTACATTGAACTACTCATTCAAAAAATAAATGTTTTACAATAAGTAATGAATGGAAATGAATTAAGCAAAAGTAAAAAAAAAAATGGATAATTGATCAAGCTACACTCTAGAAACAGTGAACTAACAAGACCTAGCAGAAGCTGCTTAAAAAAGTATACTTTGTTTAAATCAACAGTCCACACGGTAACTGAGATATCGTTGAAATATATAAAATCTGTTCACTCCAGTAATATAATCCAAACTGACATTTGTTAGTTTGTTTTTTGGCTGAGACAGAGCAGTAGTGTTGGCAGTAGTGTGGGCGCCACATGTGATCGGAGAATGCACTGTGCTGGCAGAGGGTCGGGGTTTTACTGAATTCCTATTGAATGGGATGCAGCCAAACTATCTGTACATGCCATGAAAGGGTGCGCATCTGAAGGCAGTGCATAGTTACAATTACATGTTTGGGGTTACTTACTACTGTAGATAGGACCAAACCAAACCTTAACGGAGCGTATTCTTTTAAGAGATGATGAAGAAAAAAGTAATTTTAGGGGCAATGAAAGTGGCAAGATTGTATTTAGATGTGCTGAGTCTGTCTGATGCCCAGTGCAGAGTGTGGATGGTGCTCTTATTATTCCGCTGGCTGCTATTGGATATTAAGAGAATGTGCAGGATGGCAGTTAAACATAGTGTAGAACATATTTTGTCTTGGTGGTCTCATTCTATCTGATCACACATAGCTAGACAGAGCAAGCTAACATGTATTTTACTGTGTTCAGTGCTGTGAACTACAGTAGGGGTTCATTTGAACAATGGTCTACGGTGCTCTTACTTTTATACATCTAGTCTTTTTGTGATCTGCCTCTTTGTCTCCATGAGAGCAAGATTGCTCCAGTCTCTAATTTCAGTAATCATATCATTCACGGATACAAACCCAGAGCCGAGCATTTTAATTAACAGACAAAGATACTCTTCTGTGACAAGCTGGCACAGGCAGTATGATTGAAGATGCACTCAAACACTGATACATGAATGAGGGACTTGATAAAAGATAGAATTGAAGTTTAAAGAACAAACATATAAAGACTTACAGTATAGAAAAGCCTGGCTGTGGTCCGAGGTTAATCTATGGTTGTAGTATAATGTAAGCACACATGGGAAAATGCGTAGACCTGCTATTACCCAGACTGTAAAGCAAACAGACATAGAATTAAAATAAGACAGTTGGGGGGCAAAAATAACACCTACCACTAATAGCAGGGTTGGCTGCATTTGATGCCTGTAATTTGTATGCAACTTAGTTATGTGAACTTGATAGTTCTGGTTTGGATTTCCTGTATTACAGGGCAGACACCAGACAGATATTATGGGTGTAGTGCCTGGCAAGTTTCTGATTACATGGTCTGGTGTCCTTGTATCCCTCTTGAAAAAGTAACAGGCAAAAGCAACCACAGGTAGCAAACGTATGATCAGTGTAAGACCTTATCCTCACATACAATCTATAGGTTATTCAATTTACATTGCATTGTCTGCTACTTTATTACGGCTACATTTCAAAGGTTGTTGTGAAACTGATTGTTAGTTTGTTATAGTTAAGATGGTACAGTTCGTCATGATTTGGAAATAAGTACAAGATATCCTCCACGAGCACTTCCAATGTGATAGCCCTGTGCATCATTACATTATATTGTCATTGAGTAGGCACACAATACAGTGTGATTACTGTGAGTGCTGGTCACAGACACACCATCGATCCCCCGGGAGCTCTCCTAATCAACCAGCTCCCTATACAGCCTCCAGTACACAATAGGCCAGTGGCCCACAAGGTCAGCCTCAAAGTCATACATATCCAGCACTTAAACGTAATGGTTATCTTTTTGTAGTGCTGTCATTGTGAGTTATTTCCCTGCCTTTAATAAGCTTTTGATGTATGTGTCTCTTCTGGTGCCTCTCATGTTATAATCTTGGGTGGCTTTTCGTGTGAGGTGCGGCAAAACCACCAAGTCTTGTTCTTTCCCTTCCGAGTGGCAAGAGGATTACAATGTGACCATAATGAACTTAATACGTTTATGTGAGTTTTAAACCACTGTGTCATGCCACTTCCTTTTATTGTCCTAATTGTGTGTCCTCCCACCACTAACAGTGTGCGTGCTCTGTAGTGTATTTTATTGTCCAATGACTATACCACTAAGAGGTTTCCCATTGGGCCACTATGACAAATATACAAGTATTCTGGTTTTGGCAAACTTGACTAAAAATGTTAGATATGTATACAAAAATAGCCAATTACATGGCATATCTTCAAAATGTATATTTATGAGACAAGCCCTTTATATGGATTTGGCAAATGCTAGAGCTTTTACAATGACTGATGGGATTGAAGTGCCAAAGTGGTTTTGAGAGAGGTGCCCAGACGGGGGGCTGGGGTGCTAGAAATTGGATTGTATTTTTTAGTGTCCATATGGTCACCCAGTTCAAAAACTGACAGGGGTAGAAATTGATTCTTTTTTAATTAAAAGTAACCATATCCACCTTGGAGAGCCACTTGGAGACTAATGCAGTTAGCACACAGCTGTGGTCCACACTCATCACACAGACAGGCACACAGAGAGAGAAAAGGAGGCTGAGGTGGGTGGGGGGGGGGACTAAACAACAGGAAATGCACTCTGAGAAACCACAATATAGATGAGAAAAACATCTGCAAGATAAAGTGTTGGAGGAACACAATTTAGAGGTTGGTTAGATTTGATGGGAAATTGTTTTCATAAGGCAGTCGGCAATGTCAGAATGGAGGGAGGAAAGGGTCATCGGATGTTAATGATGTGAGATTAATAGTTTAATTAGGAAGCTCAATAGCAGGGCCAGAGGCGGTCACCCCTCTGCTGCATCCCGGATTCGGCAATGCCACAGGACGACAATAACCGCCAGTGTCCTTCAGTTTGAAAAAGACATTTAAATTATGTTTTCATAATGATGGCTTTATTGACAAAAGACATTTCAATTCCTCTGTGACTTATTAGTTTGTTTTGTATTTCATTTTTGGCCACACAGCATTTAATAGGACCAAATCAAGGCTTATAAGACACTTTTCATAGATGTTAAATTATAAGGGAAGCAACAAAGAGCCTGTTGGCCTAAAGCCAGAGGTTTCTTTATTGTTCCATGTCCCTACAGTAACATAATTAAATGTTCTCTCAATTTTGGCTAGTGGAGAGTGGAATTACTTAAGACCTCCAGGCCATGTGGGTGAGAGGATGAGAACAATGGTAGGGGCTCTTTGTGGTCTCCCAGGGAGGGCTAATCTAGGGGAGGCAAATTAATGAGGTTAGTGGGGTCGCAAGGGGGTGCGTGGTGATGGATGACGAGCTAACCCCAAAACGAGATCTCTGTAGAAGCGGAGAGGCGTCTCAGCGGCAGGAACCCCCCCAGCCCACCACCTTTGGGATCACTTAACACACTTAACATTTTCCCCACACTGGTCTATTAATGTCAGGGCCTGTGCCAAGGTGACCATTGGACTTTACCCATCAACATTAACGAAGTCCCCGGTGTGAGAAATTAAAATCAATGTTTTATGGCATAATGTACCTTAAACATACCGTCAGTTTAAATGCTATTTTATTCTGGAAAAAACCGGAAGTTCTCAATACCAAGCTTTTATTCTGAAAATCCTTCATGACGACATCCGGGACTACCGTCCATTAGTATCATTAAAGTGGCTATTGACGCCGTTAACATGTATTACATATAAAGTTATGAAAGAGATAAGGAGGAGAAAAGGCATGTGGAAGTAAGCAATGAATGTAAAATGTCGAAATCCTCTGTTTAACGCGATATCGGACACAGAAGAACGAGGGGGGAAGTCCCCTACGGCACTACAGCTCACAGAGAGGAGGAGCAAACAGCCA